CTAAATATAGTTTAAAATGTAGGGCAATGTATTGTTTGATTTTTTGATATTTTTTACTTGCTTCAGTAATGAATACAGCGAGAGATCTCGCTAGGCTGAGTTGCACCATCTTACTTTAACCATAATTATAACAATAATTGGCGTTTTTTGTACGGAGTTTAACAAAATTTTGACGTTTGTTAAAGTCAAAGTAAGATGACGCAAGCCAGCCTTAGAGGTTTATGTCCAATAATAGTTTGCAATTGGTTATGGATCTTTTGAAGATTATTTCTCTTGTCATCTTCTTATCTTCTAATCTAAATAATCAATTGGACGAAAGTGTCGAGGCGCAAAATTTATTTGGAAACCTGTTATTTGTAACGCCCATCGAAAAGGGTTTTTCAATAATTCAGCCTTAAGCACGAAATATGTACAGGCGCGTAGCTCGTAAAATGGAGCGAAATTATTTCCACAATGCTACAAAATCTCTTTGAATTTGCAAAAGTTTATTTTCTTTTCAGCATTTTATTGTACAATCGATTTAACGTTCATATCGTCATATTGTGAACCTTCGATTTAATTTCGTCATTTGTTCATACTTAAATGTTTGTTGATTGCTCAATTGATTTTGCTCAATTTTGGCACCACTTGGCAATCGAACCTAGGACTATTGAGTCTAAATTTTCAACACCTGATCTAATATTACTTAATTAGAAAAGGGCAATCGAAATACCTAATATCGCTATGTAATAAATATCAAGTCGTTATACTTAATTAATTTTGAAGTAAGTATTGCAAATAAGGCTGAGTTTCACCATATAATTTTAACCGTAACTATTACAATAACCGGTGTTTTTTGTACAGAGTTTGAGATTTTTGACGTATGTTAAAGTTAAACTCACTTTAGTGCAATCCAGCCTTAAATTTTCATGTCTTAATGACGGTATAAAATCAGATATAATATCGTAACGAATTGAACGCTTTTGTAGTTATTTAAAACAGTTCGCTTATATTCACCAAGATAAATCTTTGAGACGTGTCGGCCATCTCATTACCGGAATGGCCTGTTTGTATAAAATCTGGGATCGCCCTCCGCCCTCCCTCAAGATTATCTTGAAAGATGTTCGCTGATTCTGTTTAATTTTATTCGCAATCGGAATACATTTCGCCGAAAAAATTGTTTAATTTTTGGGATCCTCTTTTCAAATAGGTACCTGGCGTTTAAAATTTATTTCTTTGATTATTTTTATTTTTTCTCTTTTTGTGTTTGGACAGCACTCGTTTTATGAAACGTGTGACCTGTCATTCTATTACTTTTTTTGGTTATTTTAACCAAAATCCTTGTCCTTTATTGCCAAGGATCGTGAACATTACGTGAAATGAAACAAGAGTCTCTTTGTGTTCACACAATAATAATTGTTAGCAAACGAATGTGCAGTTTATTAAGTGTGATGATGCTATACATTTACCCGTGTCCTCGTACTAATACAAGTTTGTGGTAGACCTGATACAAGCCAGATATTGAACGGATTATCTCAAAGTTTATGTAGGTACCTAATAGTGTTTTGTTATAGAAATACGAAAACAGCTAAAGGAATATTACTTATTCCATATCCAATCTCAGATTTCCGTAAAAATACTCACGTAGGTGTAATCTAAATGTAAGTGAGAGTGCTTACAAGGTTAAACCAAAAAGCTATGTTTCTGAATTAGCCGTATACTGAATCGAACCCAGCATATACGTAAAACAAAACGTATGAAGTCCATCAATCAAGTAATGGGGGAGAAACCGCCGCTAATGTTGTTTATAAAAGAACAAAAGGTTCAGAAAGGCCTTAATAGTCGCAAATCTTGAAAGGGCGTCCTTTTATTAAGGCACATTAGTATTGAAGGATGGCCTAAAGGCAGAAATGGCAGTGATATCATAAAGGTTTAAATAATACAAGGGACTTCACTCCGAATAATTTTACTAAACTAATACACTTTTCTGATCCTTTGGCACACTTCGCTACATGTCGTTTGCTCTCAGTTTTGTTGCGAAAATTAAATATCTATTTGTTAATTGTGGAAATGTCACGTTGCGCCCACTTTGCGCTAACGTCGCGCCCACGTCGCACCCACGTCGCATCGCAGTCAACGGAATTAGGTTTCAGTTAAAAGTTAGATTAATACAAGGCAAGTTATGTTTTTATTCTAATGTTGTTTAATAATCTATACTAATATTATAAAGATGTAAAGATAAAGATAAACTAAAGTTTGTATGTTTGTATATTTGTTAAATTGTAAGGGGTAATCTCGGGATCTACTGAACCGATTTTAAAAATTCTTTCACCAATAGAAAGCCACATTATTGCCGAGTGTCATGAGTTATATAAAAAACCGAAAAATTCCACGCGGGCGAAGCCGCGGGCGGAAAGCTAGTCATTAATATAACGGTTTTCCTTAGTTATTTTATTTGGCAAAATGTATAAGGCCGACGTTCTCGCATTCCAGCGTGTGGTGAGTCCATGTTCTTGCCACTAAAATGCTTCCTCTTTTGCGCCAGTGTTTGTTCAGGCATTTAGTCTACACGCAATTAAATATTTCAAAGCTGAATCGGATGAAACTGAAATACAGGGCGTGGCAAATTGTTTAAATAATGAATTTTGTATAGTTTTTTTAAAACTATGTATCTATTTAAAAATATGTAAAATTGAACAAAAAAATATACAAAGAACTACCTAGTTTGTAGACAAGCGGCTATGTGTGTATGTAGTTGTAAATTAAATAATAAATTAATGTGGTCTCTAAATATTACATTTAAAACTAAGTTATTTTAACATTATCATCAATCTAATCGTTTCTGAAAAGCTTTCTTCCCTACTCATATAAATATGAGCAGTTATTTTAAACAAGTAAGAGGGGTCTAAGCACGTATTTAAATACGAAAAAGCTGAGTGCTATTTCACGTAGCAGTGTGAGTTTGTTATTTTCACATATTATTATCCTACCCGCAAAATGTCCGAGGATATTTAACATTTCAGCCCCTATTTATCCTGACTTTGTACCGAAAGGGCGAATCTGCATACCTTGCTGGCTCACCCTTTGAGCTGGCTTTTTTGCGGTAATTTTTACGGGTATGTCGTAGTAAGCTTATATTTAAAATTTTGCTGTCGAGTACTTTTTGTTTTGTACAGTCTACCGCACATAAAATCTATAGACTGTAGGTAATAGGTACTTTGTTATTAAAATCGCAACTATTACTACCCGTTCGCGCTAAGTTTGCCGGTCCGTGGAATGCGCGTCCCCTCCCTCAACCGCGATTTAACGCAATTAGTTAGTGATTAAACGCAATTGATGTGTCTTATTTTACGCAAATACACTATTTTTATCAATATTATTAAATAAAAAATATTTTAAATATAGTTTGTTATAGTTATAGACGCTTTCCCTTCGAGTGACGTCATATCGCCAGCGGCAAACTTAAAGCGAACGGATAGTACTTACCATTATCACCATTATAAGGTGCAATAGAAAGTGTTCAGCTTGATGCATTCTAGCAAACTATTGTTACCTTTCGTTCACACTAATATTTATGTGAAACTCAATCATTGAAGGTTGTCTCGAGGGATAACTTAACTATTAAAATTAACCATCTTAGAACCTGCGACGAATTTAATTTCAAGATCTGAGAAGTCCAATATTTCCAATTGTGGAAGACATAATTTATCCTAAAAAAATGTAAATATTTACTAAGAATAAAGTAGAAAATATGATATAAATAAAACAGATCTTTCACGTGAGCTGTTGCAAACTGTCTGCCAGTAATAGGCGTGGGCAAATTGCCTGTGAGCACGGAAGTTTTTTCCTGTTGCGACAACAATAAGTACAGATATAATAATAAGAAATATAAATAAAGAAAAATTTTTAGGATGGAGATTTTACTAGACGGAGAAGAATATAATACCTACTAGGTAATCTAATCACTTACCATCAGGTGATCCATCTGTTCGTTTGCCTCCTTTCACATAAAAAAGGTAAGTTTTATCACCATGAGACAAAACTAGAAAATGGTGTTAGTGAATTTACATTCTAAAAGGTTTTGATTTAAACACGCATGACAAATACTTTTTGTGTTAAATCGAAATCCACTCAGACGAATCCACTGGGACAATCGAGTTTAAGTCAAAGAGAAACATAATTCACTTTGCAATTCGTTGAAAACGTTATATTTTAATGTTCTCTTATAAACAGAACAAAAGTTGGGCATTTGCTCAAATAAATAAGATTAACAAAATCTGCAAGTTCGCTTGATGGAGTCAGAAACTTTGAGTTATCTTGAACTGTGTGTTTAATGTGGTCTAAATACAAGCGTTTCTGAAACAGCTTTGTACAACATAACCCTTTAATACTTATGGTAAAATAAAGACACAATTAATAGAAGTAAGCACTGCTAGCTAAATATCGATTCAATAACGAACTCAATTATTTTTTCTGTTACAAAGTTTTTATAATTTCTTTTTTTTTTTCTTTTTAGAGAGTCTTAAATTTCATTTTCAAATCAATAATTTATTGTTAGTATACCTAGCGTTTAAATCCTTATTTCTTGTAGTTTTGAAACTAAGTAAAGGTAACCTAATTAATCTTAAAAACTTGAACACTTTTCTAAAATAATAATTACCTTTTATTTTACGTCAAACTAAATTGAATGTCAGTTTAATGACCTGTGTAACAGCTGTATCTTCATTAAGCAGAAGTTAGTCAACTCGCTAATCATCTGTAACCTGGGCCGTTATAAGTTTAAAGTTTTTGTCGCCGCCCAACTTGCGCAGGTTGGGCAGATAAGCCGCCCTCGGGAGTTATAAATTGATATAGATTGCGCGTCCGTCCACCCTTTGTACCCTCATAAATACCTGTTGATATAGTGCTGGATTGGAGAAGCGTCATGGTTTCTTCAACCTGCGTCTTGTAGTGACGACATTATGTATATTGTGAGAATAAAGACATTTATATGTATTCAGATTTCTGTCAAAAAAGTTCTTATGCCGATAGGTATGAAAAAATGTTCTGTGTGCTTACCATGAGTTTACATTAGGTGTGCTCGCTAGCGATTACGTAAAAAATATATGAAGATTTTAGTTCATAAAAGTTGCGCTAGGGGCGCTGTACACTCTGTCACACATTTATTGACATTTTTTTACGCAGTCGCTAGCGAGCACACGTAACGTAAACTTATGGTAAGCACACTGAAACTAAGATTTTAAATTACATTAGAGATAGGTACATCGAAATTGGTAATCAACTACGTTTTAAATGAATTCATTTAAATGAGTTACTATAATATATTTAATTAAGAATAAACCAACCACCATTATACTTGTACAATACTGAATAGATTGCATCAAGGTTTGAATTGAAAATTGATTTGATTTACAAATTACTAATAGAGTATTTTTTTGTTTCAGTAAAAAAAGCGCGCTATGTTGGTATACAAGGTAAGCATTTTTACAAAAACTTATATGTTTTTATTATCTAAAACTTGAGTTTATCTTATCTAATTATAGGACCAATGACATTATTATCTTTGACCCTAAAGAATGAAATTGACGTTTTGACACAATTTCCCATACACGAACTGTCAAAACGCCAAACTTATTCTACAGATAAAAGTTATCTGGTGATTGAAAAATCGCCCCTAAGGTAACTTTACCCTACTCTTTGTAACGTAAATTCACACAAAAACAGACCTCTCCAAAGACGCCTATGTGCAGCCTTTCAAGTAATTTTCCACTTTAAATCTAGTTGCTAAGGCTCGTTTTCATTTGCAGCAACACAATTCAACACATACGTGACACTCAAACTACAGAATGTCAAGTCGACGACGGTGACAGTGAAGGGCCCGACACCATGCTGGGAGCAAGACTTCCTTTTGTGAGTATAACTTGTCTAACTTTAGTTAGTTTTCCGCATGAAATTGCGTAGTTTCAGACACGGCCAGTTTGGTCGATGTTTTATAAATATAAGTACCGGGACCTTACTGGTTTAGATCGGTTATGTATTCGTTCGGGTGAAAGGTTTGGATTCGAATCCTGGTGGGGGTAAATATTAATGTGATGTGCATGAGCATTTGTATAATGTATATGGTTATTGTAAATATGTAGATGGATGCGTATCTATTTAAGTAAATTCATCCATATCTGGTTGCTATAATTCTCCTAGGGTTTGGTTAATTGATCTGGAAGTTGTAAGTACCAAATTATAAATAGAATTGATTTGATACTTAAGTCCTTAATGTTTAGCACATTAAATTAGGTATTTCTATTTACCTTTATGTTTTCAAAACACTTCTTTAAATGTTAATCATTCAGTTAGTTAAGATGATTATTATCTTATCCCTTCATTCTTCACACTAGTTAAAGTAATTAATTATTTACTGTCGTGACAGTGCTATAACTTCTAGTATTATATTATTTTGAACCCAAAAGTTAACAATAGTAGCAATGTATAAATAAATATCTTACAAAATCAGCAGTTACGTCCGTACCACGCTACGGCGAGGCATATCATTAATTATAACATATGGAACTGCCGGCGCCCAGTTATTATAATTGCGGTATTTCAACCGGTGTAGTGCCAATTATATTATTATCTAGAGCCTAATTACAGTAATAAGTAATAAGAAACATTGTTGATGACTGATTTGATTTTAAACCAACAAAACGATAACGTTAGTCGTTCTGGGAGTCATCCTGTAACAAGAAAGAAAGGAGAATACGAACCATTGTTTATATTAAATGTTACTCTCCTCCCCTGTAAGTATTGTCCCAAAATTCAGTCCCAGAATTCAAAGCTTGAATGAATTTTTAATTGTGCCCACAGAATGGGTCGGCCAGAGTTTATAATTATTTATCTCTCTCGGATCAAAAAACCACAAGTCGTTCGTTCGTTTCAGCCCAATGAAGTCCACTGCTGGACAAAGGCCTCCCCCAAGGATTTCCACAAAGACCGGTCCTGCGCCACCCGCATTCATAAATCGACATTATGTAAAAATTTGGAGGATAAATATTATGTATTCGCATACTACGAATACGTGAAGAAGATAGACATTACATATTAGTGTATATCACACATAACTGACAAGCAGCAGGATTTTGAAATGACACAGTATAATGTTTACTAGCGGCCGCCCGCGACTTCGTACGCGTGGATCCCGTTTTAGGGGTGAAGTTTCGTAAAATCCTTTCTTAGCGGATGCCTACGTCATAACATCTACCTGCATGACAAATTTCAGCCCGATCCGTCCAGTGGTTAAGGTTGTGCGTTGATACATCACTATGTCAGTCAGTCAGTCACCTTTGAGTCATATATGTTTAGATTTAAAGTTCCCGGAAAAACTGTAATAAAAAACCGCGTCCAAGTTTGCTCTTAAATTAATAGCCACACTCGTTGCCCTCCCCGCCCCACCGCTTCAGTTAAATAAGTGACACTCATCCACGAATAAATAGGGGGCATGACATTGATCATTTTCATAATCTGTCGGGAACGGCGGCAAATTGTTAAATAAACTGCGGGTAACGCGGTGGGCGTAGGGCTGCCAGGTGTCCGGTTTTAGCCGGACATGTTTGGCTTTTAGGGACGTGTCCGGCCAAATATTCTCTCATCCGGCCTGTCCGGCTTTTGTTAGGCTTTTTATGTGGCTGCAGGGCCTTACTTGCTAATATACCTAATGTAGGATTAACTCATAAAGAAATTCAGCAATTGCTTAGGGCATCACGCACCAAAAAGAATACAATATAATTTGCTATCACATAATACTTTTTTTTTTGGAATAAACGACGGTGTGTACGCCACCAATGTCCGGTTTTTAGGGTAAATGTCCATGTTTTTGGACCTGGCAACCCTAGGTGGGCGTGCCCTCTGGCGTTTACGATCGTGGAGTTTGTGCTGGTAGAGAACAACGTACTATGTCAAGATTTTTTAATGAAATCAAACAATTTTGAAAAGAGAGATTGACGCCGGTATTCACAAACATTACTGTGAGGTCTCACAGTGTGCGTGGACGCACAGGGTCACACACGAACCAATCACAGAGGTCTATTCAACGCTGTGCGTTCGATTTGCTGCTTCACTTAAGCAAACATCGTTTGTGAATACGGATGTGAATGACGACTTCTTTTATGATGGTAGAGTCAGTAATAAGTCGTCTCAATATTGTTCATAGTACGTTATGTCTGTGTCTAACGAATTAATTTACTGAATTATTTTAAGTGCCTATTTTGTTTTAGTACTATTCTATCCATCAATAGCGTCGATATATCTGTCTGTCGAATCTGTCAATTGTAATTGAAAAGAAAGAAACATTTTTTATTCGTGTAGTAGAGAGAAATACCTACCTATAATATTTTTCTGTTAGAAGAACAGTGTGTTTTGAATATACATACAGTAATAGGTGGGTATCGGGATATTCCCACCTCTCGTTCCCACTGCTGCAACTCCTGTGTAGCCAGGATCTACAGCTTGATTTCTAATAGATGGGTATGTTAAAAGTTAATACCATGTTGTATGGTGAAAGTATTAAAATATAACCAATCACAGACTTATTGATATAATTATGTGCCATGGTAGAGACCGTATGAATGAGACAAGAGTTGTTGTTAGTCTCTGTTATTAGTCTGTTTATTAACGTGAATTTATACGATATAGATTAAAGGTAAATGACGTCACAGCATCAGCACTATACGTGATAAATGTGCTGACACTGTGAACGTGATCAAGTTAAGATATGCAGAGATTAAGTATTGTGCATACCGGCACAATATAAGTTGACTTGTAAGTAAGCTTCACTTGTAATCCAGTAATGGGCATCGCACAATTCGATACTAATCGGACAATCCGAGCCTAAAATAAAATTTTTCGCGCAGGTGCCCCTTTTCCCCTTCATTCAGCCGTATTCAGAATTGCCCTTTATTGTAGCATGTGGGCGTTCTCTCACTTATAATTTCAGTGCATTTATATAGCTGTCATAGGAATTGTTGTGCATTGAACTTTTCCATCCGTCCTACTTTCAAGTGTCCATGACGGATGGTGAGAGCTATGCCATTTGCTGGAAACAAGTTTCTATTAAATAAATAACTAAGTATTATAATGTATTTCCTTTCTATTCGATCAATGTACATGTACAGTGGGTTTGCAAGTACTTAGACAGTATAATGTCATACATTTTGTATGTAATAGTTACCATTATGAGGTCGTCGGTTCACCTTGTGGGTGGGTGGACGTCCTACGCTGCGCTTTCCGGTACCTCATAAAGGTAGCAGGAAGGCGCTGGATGTAAGCCGCCACTAACCGACTATTGTGGAAATAATTAGGGGAGGCCTATGTTCAGCCGTCCGTCCTATGCCTGAAATGATGATGATGATGATGAAGTAATAGTTATAGCAGGGAACTAGAGTAAGTACTCGCAGGTGGTGTTTGGTATTTGACAACCAAGAGCAAAATTCATGTTCGATATAACTTTATAGATATCATTTTAATTAAATGTAATTTTCAATATACGAGTGTGTATGTGTATTTACCTACAATGTACATACCTATTTTCAAAAAGTTTTTATATGGACTTCAACAAACGATATCCGAAAGCTTCTCTGCAGTTGTAGCTTTTCCAGAATGCACTAATATTTATAAAAAAAAGCTTAGTATTTATTCTACCTTTATTAAATCTGTGGGTGCTAATCGCATTAATGAACACTGTTTTATCAAATGAAGAGTTTTTGCTCTCGTATTTAATTAAGTCTGCTTCATTTAAAGTTAGGGATTTTTCAAAATGTCTAGGTAGGTATTTCAGATCCTTATTTGCGAAAAAGATTCTCTTTTCTCCTCCTGTGAGTCTCTAAGTTTTTAAAATGTTTCCTTTAATGCTTTCTGGGGTATAATTTATACGAGTATTTCGCATTTCTTTCTGCGCAAGAAATTATATAAAATACTGCTGCTTTTTGCTTTATATCACCGAGTAGATTGCATAATGAGGCCATATCGATTTACGATTTGCAGTTTTTATCAGATAGGTATTATATCTACCGTAGTGCTTAGATAATGCCGCTGTTTGCGTTGTTGTGTTTAACAGCGTATTATCTAGGTGCATATTAAAAGCTTTTAAAGCTCTCTCTTCGACGTAAACAAATATTATCCTTAATGTGACATTGCTATGATGTAAAGTGAGACTTATTTCTGTAAAACTCGTGTTATTAACTAGTGCCTTTTTTCTGTGATGCGGGTTTCGACACACGTACGGATCTGGTCCGCATTCAGTGATTCGGGTTCATCATCATTATTTTAAATGTATATTATGTTTTTCCTATTAAGCACAAGTACGCAATTAGCAGCGTGATTATTAGGTATATACACACGCCACAGATTAGAGAGATCAGATCCGCACTGCTGAAATCCGCATCACAGAAAAAATGCACTAAACTCTTGTTTTAATACCTATATTCATTGGGATTTAACATCTTTAATGCTCCAGACCTAAACGAGGCGACGGGCAAACCAAATCCAAGATACTTTTACAAATAACGTTTGTAAGTTATTTTCTTAAAAGCAAGAGAAAAATAAATATTCAATGAGCGTTGGGGTTTTGATTTATGTCCAACTTCGTTTGTGTGGAATGCAAGATGAAGATTGATGATACCCTTAATTTAATTACATTTTAGAACAAACGAAACGTTCGTACTCTCATTAATGTTTAGTTTGTTTCAGACCCTTGATGGTGAATCTCTACGATTCCATAGTTTATAAATAGTTTATGGACTACTTAGTCTAAATTATTTTTAGCCCAGTGCCCTTGAAATGGCAAAAGTTTATGTCATTAAGGTCGCATTTTGTTCATTATTTTTTAAAGTTCAATAAAGTTTTAAGATCAATAAATCCAATAA